TCTTTCAGAATTGTATATTTTTATCAGAACAAAATATTCTTCAAATCTACTTTTAATAGATTTATTATATTAGCCCATTTTAACACCATTAAGTGAAAAAAGTAATTATCAGAAAAAGAAACAATCTTAATATTAACAAAAATTTTAATGTATATTTACTAGATTTTTGTCCCGCATTAAATGCGAGATTAAAATATTTGAAAATAAAAAATTAAGAACAAAAATATAAAATGGTATATCTCTCATATTGGTAAATATATTTTATCTTACAAAATTTAATCTGCATGACACTTATATTGAATGTAAGCGTTTTAAATGTAAATTGAATACGTTTGAGATGATGAGTTCTCTCAAACTTATTTGAGTTCACCAAACCTAAAAAATATTGCGTTAGTATGTAATTTTTTCTAGGGACAATTGCAAAAATGGCACTTTTGGTATGTACATTTGCAAGAATGCTACTTAGGAGTGTTCATTTGCAAAAATGCCACTAATTATGAATTTTAAAGCATAAATCTTAAAATTATTAAACCCTAAAAAATGTTTTGACCCCTAAAACCTCTAAAACCCTCAAAACTAAATCCTAATATAACATAGTTAACCGAAACATAAATGATATAATGAATTTTTTTTTTTTGAGAAAGTGCATTTTTGCAAAAATTTTAAAAATATGGCATTTTTGAAAAATGGCATATGAAAAGTGGCATTTTTTGAAATTTTTCTTTTTTTTAAATAAAAACCAAAGAAGTAATAAAAAGTGAAAATGATGATTTTTGAAAGTCAACCATTAATGTTTGATTTGTAAAATTGTACGTTTATAACAAAAATACAACTTTGATTATAATAATATGGATACGATTAAAAAAAATAAAAAAATAATTGTACGATCAATCACATATGGTTACCAAATGAACATAAATACAATTTTTATAAAATAGTTAACATCGTTAAATGATTCATCGTTAAAACATTATGTTATATAACGTTTATATATTAAAATGTTATATTTTAGTTGGATTTAAATTAGTAACATATGTATTTGTGAGGTCATGTTAAAAAATTAATGTAAATATGTAGAAATGTCTAACATTGCATATAAAATTAATTAGAACATTTTGATTGGCTAATTTAATTGATGTATCCCTTAAAATCCTCATTGAGTGAGACATATAATTTTTTCACTTAGTATCTCCTCAATTAATATATAAAGGATGTGTTTTAGATGTATACATACATGATATACATACATGCCAAAAATGTAAATATACTAAACATTTTAATATATATTTTTAACTATACTAATATCACATGGGGCAATTACAAAAATATCACTTAGGGGTGTCCATTTACAAAAATGTCACTAATTATAGATTTATAAAGCCTATATCTTAAAATTCTAAACCCTAAAAAATGTTTTGACACCTAAAATCCCCTAAACACTCAAAACTAAATCTTAATACAACATAATTAACCCAAACATAAATAATATAAAGAAATTTTTTTTTTTGAAAAAGTGACATTTTTGTAAAGATTTCAAAAGTATGATATTTTTGTAAAGTGACACTTGAAAAATTACATTTTTTGAAATTTCTCATATCACATAACTAACTAACATTATAGGATTTCAAAGTTAATATAAATATTACTAAGATTCGTTTCCGGTTGCCACTTTTTAATTGTAAGTACATTTATATAAAAATTTGGTGAAAATTAAAATGAATTTTAGCATTTTTTTTAGCATTTAAATTTTTAAAATACCATTGAAACTAAAACTATAATTTACTATTTTTAATATAGTTTTTTTGAAAAATTTCAAAAAATGCCACTTTTCAAATGTAACTTTACAAAAACACCATCTTTTTACAATATTTACAAAAATACCACTTTTTCAAAATTATTTATTCATTATATCATTTATGTTTGAGTTAACTATGTTGTA